GGGGTGCGGAAATCTCCTGTCTCCCCCACTTTCAGTCCCTCCTGATATTTTCTTTTCATTCTGCCTGCCTGGATATTTTGCTTCTCTTTTCCAGTGTTCATAATGACCTCCTACTAAAGCACAAACATTATCTATTTGCAAGACAACCCAGAATGCTGTTGTGTATTCTTAACAAATCAAAATAAGCCTGCCCTCTCATTTCCTCCCTCAACAGAAAAATGGCAAAAGAAAATTACCATGAGACAAAGTGCTTATAATTTTTAATTTCTTCCTTTCTTCTGTTTATTTCCCTAGCTTCTCCCAAAAATGTTTTTCCAATGAAACTATGTATCTAACGTAATTGTTCTATCTGTACAACATAAACAAGTACCTGGATGTAAACAGCAGCATGTCCTTGAAGTGACGGTATCCCCTGGTCCCTGGCTGTGACCATCATTCTGTAGTCTGATCTCTCAGCATGTGATAGAGACCGGGTTGTTCTTAACTCCCCACTGACAGCATCAATCTGAAAGTCTCCTATATCCTCTTCTATCGGGAAAAACTGGATATGAGTTATTGCAGATCTCTTCAGTTGCCTCCATAGTAGTGAACACTGTAATTAACAGTAAGAAAGAGCAGGACCCAGAGGAAAGGGAAACTGCTGCACTCATTTGGATCTCTCTGGCTCATTTGGTTCACCTCTTCTTCACTGAGTACATAGTTATTATAAACTACTTACTCCAGACTCAGAAAGCTACAGAGACAAAGGCTATGGAGTACTAAAGCAACTGCTCAATTTTGTACCGATGTTACTCACACCAACAGTGCGTGCAGCTGGAGAGCAGCAGACATCCCAGGACTGATACTCCTACTTCAAACATAAGTTGGCAGGCAGGCCCAGAGAAAGAATTAAGTCTTAGTCTCCGAACAGGCCTGAAGGGTCAAGTAAGTGATGCTGGATACACAGCTGGCTCACATCCCCCACAGACTACGGGTCAGCAAAGAGCCCGATCTACCACTAAGGCACGGCAACAGCAGCGATGCCACCTGCCCTGCCTGTGCTCTGAACAAGGAGCTAACTGGGGGTAGCTAAAATCTTACAGTAAATTGTTGCAGAGCAACATGTGCATATTGGAAATCATGCTTGCATTCTTCATCAAGGACTGGTCACATGCTAATAACAAGGAACTTCTAATGAAAATTATTACCTGCAGCTACTCTATAACACATTTATTCTAGAGTTGCGAAGATTAATTCTATCATAGAAGGGTAAATAGCCCTTTGTGACTTAGAATCATAGAATCATTTAGGTTGGAAAAGACCTTTAAGATCATTGAGTCCAACCGTAAACCTAGCACAGCCAAGTCCACCACTAAACCATGTCCCTAAGCACCACATCTACACATCTTTTAAATACCTCCAGGGACGGTGACTTCACCACTTCCCTGGGCAGCCTGTGCCAGTGCTTGACAACCCCTTCAGTGAAGTAATTTTTCCTAATATGCAATCTAAACCTCCCCTGAAGCAACTTGAGACCGTTTCCTCTCATCCTGTTGCTTGTTACCTGGGACAAGAGACTGGCACCCACCTGCTCCATTTTCAAGGAATGCAACACAAATTACTCTCCAATTTTTAGCAAAATGGGAAAGTATCTATTACTTGGTACACCTTACCAGAAACTGAAAAAAAAATCAAATTTGCCATAACTACTTCTCTCTTAAAATATTATGCAAACAACTTTTTGCTATGTGAATTTCTAATAAGGTGTGCTAGTGGGTTAAACAAAGTTATGCAGAACAACAGCTGCTATTCTAATAAGCAACTGTGGTAAAAATAAATTCAGTGCAGATGTAGTACACAAAACACCCATAAAGAATTATATTTCCATAGGCACCTAAGTGAGCATGAAGCTGTTTATGTTCTCCAAATCTGCACATGCAAATTAGTTAGCTGCATATATAGATATTCATTTTTGTATCCAATCACCTCACCCGCAACTGTAAAATATTTGCACCTGTAGAATTTGAAAAAATACTGAGCAGGCTAGTTAGAAAACAGGGTTTTCACAACCAACAAATAGGAGTTATTTTTATAAGATTGTTCTGCTATTTTTCACTGTCTATAGGTTTTTAACACTCCATGAGTCCCTTCTGGGTTGACTCCTGCAGTCTGGAAGGTAACGAGGAAATTGCCAACAAAAGGAAACAATATGCAGAGACAACTCTATTCAATGAGACAGTCCTGCATTCTGCATTTTTCATGATAGTTTCAAAATATTAATGCTGCTATATTACTGTTTTCATAAATAGCTCTTGGTTACTTCCCTGGTTTAGGTCCCAACAGTATGTCTACATTCACACATACACTATTTTGTTCCATATAATGTTTCAAGACACAAAACCCAAGCTAAGCAAAAGGCAGAGAAAATATGAAAAACAGAACTCAGTGTGAATTGCATGCATATAATTTTAACATTTTGCTAAAACTGACATGTAAAAAAATGGATAGGGAGAACTAACAAGAAAAAGAAAACAGTGAACAGAAGTGCACGAAAACTATTCCCTTCATTTTTCTACCAAAATGGAGTTACAGTTACCAAATTGAACCAAAATTAAAAAATTGTTTAAAAAAAACCCACAAATCAGAGAACAAAAACATTGCAAGTACATAATTATAATATGAACATGAGGCTATGAGAATTCACCCTTTTTTCAGCAGTGATGAGGACAGTCAGTACCTCTTAGCATAAAGACCAATACTTGTTTTTCTGTTTCAAGTAGCAGAACACAGATAGCTAAGCTCAACCGAAATAGGTGTCAGTCCACACAACTTCTGAAGGGTTGAAGCTTATTTGATAGGAGAAAGGAATGGTCAGAATCTACAATTTTGAATAAAATGAAAGTGAGCTGGTCAAAAAAGAAACTACCAATAGCGTTATTCACTAGACACTACAATTCTACTAAAATCCAAATATTTCATGAAACCATCAGTTTTGCACATATTTTGGTGGCAATAAAAGTAACAGAAAAGTTTGATAAAGTTGGAAAGAGATATTGTAAAAAATCAAAACTCCTTAGGACTTCTATTTCGAAAGTGTTTCTCATTTTCGTCTTTTTTATCTGGTAATGCACTATAAATACCGTCAAAACAGAAACAACTTATTTCTATTTTTCTGGTAATTTATCAGTCTATTTTTTTAATTTATTCATAGACAATTTCAAAGTGTAGCCATTTGATTCCAAATCAGAAAAAAATTCAAGGAAAAAAACCCCTTATGAAATGGATTTCCCTTCATCTATAGGCAGACTAATCAAACTTTTATACTACATTTTGTAGCTAAAGCAATTTCTTCCATTTCTGAATTTCAAAAGCCTACCTAAAAACAGATCTCATTTTTCAACTGATTTAATAGATGACTAAGAGAAGAGATAGACCACTTTTGAATACTTTCGCCCAAGATTACCGAGGGCAAGTGTATGTGAGTGGTAGCTTGCTCACTTTCTACATACACTCCAAATCCTCCTCGTCATGGAGAATTGCAGCCCTCTGCAAGTCTAGGAATGCTCCCTGCATGCTGCTTGCAAATCACCCTGGAGAACAAATACTTGTCCACAGGCATACGTACAACATTTGCCAATTCGTGTGTGTTAGTGGTGTAAACTAGGCTTCTCCTAGCACTCTGGTGGTCAAGTGCTAATGTATCTGTAGAATTGGTCCAAATATAACTGTAAAAGCCTCTACTTTGCCAGTGCTAGTCTTAACACACAAAGCAATAGTTTATGATGCACCATAAATACAGATTAATTTTTGTTATAAATGCTATACTATAACCTATCAATAGTTGTGAGGAAGGCCAGACAAATCACTTTGCAATTGTCAGCATCACTAAGGAATAGTACACATAGCCAGGATTCACCTCCCTCTGATTTAGGTTACTCTCAGTGATAACACAAAAGTGGACGTACGGCCATATGACCATGTATTTCCATACACATGAATGTTTAAGGATGATTCGTTTTGATTTTCTGGGAAGAGGGAGAAGAACTGAAGGAAACAGTTCTCCTCTGAAGGCTAAAATTCATCTGTTGCGTAAACCTCATAGTTCTTTTACAGATTTTTCATTATGTAATTTTTTGGCATCTGTCATTAGCCCTCCTGCATAGCTTAACCTATTGCTCCCATTTTGGCATTTCTTTAAGGTCTCAAGAACTTTAAAAATTACCCAGTGACTCTTACAAGCTTAACAGCTGACTCTGACTCTCGGAGCTCTTAATCTTGTGGCAGTCCCTCAACTGTTGAAAACAGCACCGGTCTGCATGCAGTCCTCCGATTAACCTGATTTCTTTTTGTTGAACAAATACAGCTGTAAATCAGATCATATTTCTTCTTCATATTTTAGTAATAAACAATATCCCAGAACTAGAAAATACTATTTTAAATATCAACCAGGCAAGAACTTCACCATGAAACAGAAGACCAGATGTTAAAGGCTGTGAGCCAACTAACAACAACAATAACAACAAAAATTAGTATCAGAGAAGCTCAGTTGTTTCTGGATTTGTTTACTGGGAAAATATCTAGTTCCAAGGCCAGGAGGGCTCTTTTAGTGGTTTTTTTTGCTCCTGTTTTTATCCTTTTGTTCTTTCTAGAGACAGCACTGGCAAGACCAGTCATATTTTGTGTCGCTAGTCAATTTTTATAATTTGAACTCTTACTTGTTCCCCTCTGGCACTCTACAGTGAAGTCAGTAAGAAAATTCAATATGCTGTTTGAAAGAAGGGGATATAGTTAGAGATACAGACAGGCAGAGACCCCTGAAGAACAATTCCCGTGTTGCCTGGTGATCACCCCTCAAACAAAAGGTTGGGTACTACTCATCCCCTTTCTCTTAAGGGGGATCATTTCATGCAAAAATATTATTATTCACAATGCAGAAGTCTATGATCGTCTCCAGTTCCCTCTGGAAGAGACAGTCATTTGTATCCAAATTAAGGGAATACTACTATGGCCATAAACTGACCCTACAGTTTTTTTATTATCTACTTATATTTCAACTGCAAAATTTTCAACAGAGTTGTTAAATGTCTCATTTTTTTAAGCATCTCTTGATGGAAGAAAGCAGAGTTAGTTCTCCGGCCCTTGTGGATTTGGATCTTAAAGTCCTTCCATTACTCCACAGAAGTCGAAAGGGTACATAAAGACACAGTATAACATAATCCACAGGAACCTTCTGGTAATTTCAGCTTCGGCAAGAAGAGGCTACAGATTCCCTTGCTGTTCAAGAGTGAGGAATAATGTAGGTTTGCAGTATTTTGTTCTTTACTCTGCAGTGACAAATAATTGTAATGAGTTTAAACCAACCAAGCCCACATTTGAGCTCTGCCTACACAGAAAACAACACCTGAGGAAACGCACTGAGTGGGTGGAAATGGTGGAAATGTTTTCTTGCTCTGATGAAACAGGATGTTCTATGTGCAAGTTACCACAGACTACAAATACCAAGCTTAAAAGGTATTGATTACATTAAGCTGGCAGAACAGAGCAGGTACCAAAATAAGAAATAGTTCTGCTCTTGGCACCTCTTGCTGTTTTGAACCAACAGTGAAGCAAAGCAGGAGGAACAGTCATGTTTTCCTCACTGGTTACAGAGAGAATTCTCTCTTGCATAAAAGTGTAGCAAGTGGTATGTGGCAAAACCAGAGATCGCATCTATGCCTCCTACAGTATTAATGCCCCAGTCCCACTCAGGTTCTAATTTAGGACTGCTCTGTTATTGATTTCACTGCAAACAAAACTGGATCCTACAGCTTACCCCAGAAGTGAACTATTACGTGTAGGAATTACAGGGAAAACTAAAGACAAGAAGTGTTTTTAAGTGGCCACACTATGTCAGGCTAACACAGTGCTAAACAAAGGGTGAAACATGAACTAAAAACCAGAAGCCTTGTTGTCTGCCCAGATTATCTGCTGATCCTTCTGATCCCCCTCTCAGACTGTCATGAACCATTCTTTTAGTAGGAAAATTTTCAATTGGTCATGGGAAAAGGGAGATCATCTTTCCTTTAAGATGTTAAACAACTGACTGAAACACTAAACTGTACAGTACAAGATCACAGTCCTAATCTTTTCTGAGTACTGTTTGAACATCCTCTGGCCAGGCACACAAGCAACCAAACCCCTGGGAAGGCGGGATAGAGGGGGAAGGGAAGAAAGGTAGCTGCTTGCATCTCCTCAGATACTTCGTCAGACTTACGATGGTCGTGATTCCTATTTACACATGCACCTTTATTCTAACAGGCACAAAATAGACATAAAATCCCGTATGTATACATGGCACCTCTAAAACTCTAGTTATTTCAATGTATCTTTTCTTATGAATAACACTTTAAATTCTTACCTGATTCTATTGAATATAACACAACACCGCTGTTTCCAGAATCAAAGTCTTTTGCAAAGACAGTGGTAATAAGTGTCCCCGATGGCTGCCCTTCCAAAACCTGTCATCAAGCAGTTTATAAATAATTTGCAAATATACGTGGTTAACAACGAGTCTTAAAATAAATTCTTCGCCATAACACAAGAGTTTAGCTGTTGCTCTGTTTTCTATTTCAGTAATATTTACAGTCAGTGCAAAGAACATTTCAGGAAACGGTTAAATACAGCTCTAGCAATCCTCTGCTACAGTCTGCATATATTGCCAATTCAAAAAAACTTTAGTACAGCAGACTTGGAGGTCAGAAATTAAAAGAGATTCTACCGCATACATAAATAAAATTATACATGTATATCCTTTATATCTAATACAGCTCTAGCAATCCTCTGCTACAGTCTGCATATATTGCCAATTCAAAAAAACTTTAGTACAGCAGACTTGGAGGTCAGAAATTAAAAGAGATTCTACCGCATACATAAAGGATATACATGTATAATTTTGTTTATATCTAATGGTATACAAGGCATAGAAGTGTCATCATTTGATAAATTCTGAAATTCCCAAATACACCCGAGTCTCAGTTAAGAATGGGTTATGTTCCTATCTTGGTGCTGCACTGTTACTGTCTCACAGCACAGGGGGTTTGGGCTCCTGCGGCGAGGTGGTGCCCGGAGCAGGCAGCGCATCCTGCCAGCAGCACCCACCTTGAGCTGCAGCCCCCGCCCGGGCACCGCCTGAGGGAAGAGGGGCTTGTTGTCATTGAGGTCCCTCACCACGATGTACACGGCTGCTGTGGTGTTTAGCCGTGGTGACCCGTGATCAGTCACTAGCACGGTCAGCTGGTGGTGAGCTTGTTTTTCATGGTCTAGTGCCACCCAGTTTATGATTTCACCTGGTGGACAAAGAAAATGAAGGAGAAAGGGAGTTAGATACTTACTATATGCTAGCACTCATCTACATGCAATTATACATTTAATCTAACGTGAAATAATGATACGTCTTCCGATACACCTTAATGCTGACATTAAAACCCCAGTTTTCCAAGCTCCATTCCACAGAAACGTTCTGTCAATCACAGTTTGCACTTGTACTGTAGTAGCACATTACAATCTGCTTTGAAATGATAATTTTGTTTTGAGATTCATACAGAGAAATTCTGGGAGAGCCTGTTCACTCCCCATGAGGACAGGACATCTGGTAACAGGAATTTTTAATGGCAGATCTTCGCTCGGTACATATCATTTTGCTAAACTGGACTATTTACAGTGCCTGTGCTCCTTACAGGATTCCCTTCCTCTAGGCTCTCCACGCTGTGGTCTGCGGTGTTACACTGTGTGGCTACAGCACCTATTACTCAAGGCAGTTGGGATTCACCGCAGAGTATGCCCTGTGCCATGAAAAGCTTCTCTCAGCCAATTTGATTTCTGTAGTGCTATGTACAACATGAACTCAGTTTTGATGTAATTTACAGATGTTTTCACAAATATTTTAAATCACTGTAACTATCAAATGTCATAGTTACCTTTACAGTTATTTATGGCTGATCTGTACTTTTCAGCTGTACTTGATCACAGCCAATTAAGTTCCTCATATGAACTACTGAAGCTATAACTTAAAACTCCCTCTTTAAATTTGTTACAGTCAAACATTGAAACTTATGACCGAGGAACCAGAATGAAGTCATGAAAAAAATAAAATACTAAGGTTTACTTCATTCTTCATGAACATGTATTAGATTTATTTCATTCTCCAAATTGTGAAGCTCTGAGTTAGAATATTCATATATCAACCCAAGAGATTCACAGCAGTTCCTGAAAGCTTTACACTTTACTTCCATTTCCTTAGGGAAGGCTGCTTTCCAAAAGCAGTATTAGGCAGATTACAAATCATAAAATGCTACCTGTGTTGGAATTAATCTTGAAATACTTTCCATCAGACAAGAGAAAATAGGAAAGTTGTCCATTTCTTCCTGAGTCTTTGTCAACAGCTGTAATGGTGCCAACCACACCTCTAGGAACTGGATTTTCCTCCACTTCAAAGAAGTAGCTTTCACGCATAAACATAGGAGAATTATCATTTTCATCCAGGACTTTAACTATTACTGATGTACTTGCATTTTGCCTGAGGTTTTTATCCTCGGAGGCGCTGACCAGAGCTCTAAAACTTAGTATCTGTGCACATTCATAGTTCAAATGTTTCCGAAGATAAATCCAGCCAGTATCAGAACTGATTCCAAATGCAACAGAATCTGTGCTAGGCTCTAAGGAGTATGTCAGCTTGGAGGTAACACCGTGTGGATCAATTGAATGGGCCTGAACCTGAAGGATTCGGGCACCTGGAGAGGTAGCTTCACTGATTTCTACTTGATACACCAAGTTTTGAAAAATCAAAGTAGGGCCCATCTTCTTTTCTTCAATAATCACTGTCAACATCAGCAAAGAAGTCAGAGAAGGACTTCCACAGTCTTCAGCTGCTATGTGCAGAGTATATTCCCGCTGCTTATCTGCAAACACTGTCCTGGTGAGGTTTACCACTCCAAGGTTTGGATCAATGCTAAATACATTTGACTGCTTGCTTGCAATACTGTATTTGATTGCCCCGTTTAGGCCACTGTCTCTGTCTTCTGCATGAGCAATGTAGACTGCAGTGCCAGGAGGCTGGGTATGTGAAACAGTTACCTTATCAGATTTAGTAGGAAATATTGGAGGGTTGTCATTAACATCTATCACAGATATGTTGACCTGGGTACTACTGTAGACAGGGGAGTTACCCAACTGTGACTGAACAGTGAGCACCACAACAGACTGACTTTCATGGTCAAGCTGTTTTTTGGTGCGGATGATACCAAACCGGGGGTCAATAGAGAATCTTCCATGTGGATCACCAGAGGAAATTCTGTAAGAAACCACTTCTAAAGAATCTAGAAATGGAAATAACAACAAAAAATGTAAAATTACATGAAAGTGGTAACATGAAGGTTGGTAACACCATCTGAGAAGAATGCATGCTGTTAAATTCAGTGGAATAAATGTAAGCTACACACATTTGACTTTCTTGGGCTTTTTATGCTTTCTTCCTGTCCCTGGAGCCCTTCAGTAAAATATAACTGTATACAGTTTGTCCACTTGTGGACCGTTTGATTTTCATCTCATTGGTATGATAAAACTCTATAGAGAAAACAGTATAATAGCCTCTCGTTTTCCCCTGATCTAAAACATGGAAAAAACACTCCTATAAATTAGTCTTTTGGGAGTAATTTCACTACACACAGGCATTCACTACAGCAAGGAATCAAACAGGGGGCAGTTCTATGAAAGAGCTGCATTTTACTGCACTTACTGTTCATGGATGACCATTGCTATAACCCTTATACATCAGATGCTACCTAAAGCAAAAGCTATCTACAGGTTCAGGCTTATTGGCAAGGCTGCTCTGCAGGTGCTACCTCACCCTGAGGACAATGGTCAGTGCACCGTCCTTCCAAGAAGGAGAAAACGGACGGACCTGACTAATCAAGCTCACATTAAACCTCTGCCTCTACCACCTTAAACGTACAGATCCATCATTAAGTTGGTACATGGACTCATGGCTCCCACTGCTCTGCATAGGAACCAAATATATACGGCTCTCAGGACAGGGTCTTTTAAGACTAAGGCCTGGCAGGAGCTAACCTGTTTCCCTCTGAAAATGGTAACATAACCGAGTGGATTAAATACATTTTCAGAAGGTCCCATAAACATTCATCTGGACTTCACCACTTAATTTGAGAGAAGGGGGGAGGGAGGTTTGTTTGTTTGTTTGGGAGTTTTTTTGTGGGAGGTGTTTGGGGGGTTTTTTTGCAGCAGCAGCACTGCACATAGATTCTCTGAAACTTCTGAATACTTTCTGATCAAGACTATTGCTCTGAGATTTGTCTTGCATGGCTAATGCTCTAACACAACCCACACTGTCACACACACCCTTCCTTACACTTTCACAACGTGCTTCCCACCTCCCCATTTACAACTATAGAAATCCATCTGGAAGAAAATGGAAGCAGTTGCCCATCCCCATGGACCACCAAGGAGAGTACCACAAATCTCTACCTGTTCTAAAGAGCATCCCGATACAGCAGTGATTACACTAGTTGCTGTAAATACCAACAGTAAGTACTATTTAATGCTGGCCAGATTGAATGAATAATATGAAAGTTTAAAAAAATAACATTAGCAGCATTTATTTCTAGCTGACAGTCACAACAAAAATGCAATGTAATCTCTGACTGAGCATGCAACTTACTTGGAGGCTCTCTGGCCTTTACAGTGCCGATCAGGCTGTCTTCAGGTGCATCTTCGGGGACAGAAAAAGTATACCAGGATCTCTCAAATGTGGCAGGGGCAGCAGTGGTCTGGAGGATGTGTACTGTGACAGCTGCATTGGTGGTAGAGGGAAGGCCACCCCCATCCCGCGCACAAACAGTCAGGAAGAGCACAGAATGCACCATGTGGCCAAGAGCTGAGATCAGATAAATAATCCCTGAAAGTACACAGAAATAAAAGAGCAATGAAGTAAGTTAAAATTCAGCAGGCTGTCAAACTAGTTTCAACATGTACCACCACTCCAAGAGAAGGTCAGACAACGTGGACAAAAACAGCACTCCCAATTCCTTTTTGAGAGCCAAGTTTTTTCAAATTATATGGTCTTTCACATGCAGAAAGCCACTAACACACAGCAAGTTCCGTGTCAAAACACAGTGTCCATAATTCTGATTTTAGAAACACAGATTCAGCTAATTCTTTAACAACTTCATTGAGTCAGTGGAGTTGTTCTGAGTTTTCAGCAATGTTGGAAAAAACTCAATTTTACCAGTCCCAGCCTATAGGAATCTGGAAGTGCATTAGGGTGAAAAGATACTTTATTGTTACAAAAGACAAATTTATCTTTGCAAACAGTAAAGCTAACTTTATTTCAAACACGCTGCAGAGACATTCTGCTCGAGTAAGTCCTAAATAAAACATCCACACAAATGGGGTTGAAGCCCCAAAATGCAGATCTTAGGAGCAGCAGGCTCTGCGGAAAGTATCTGGGAAGCCATCATCTGCTGTCTGATGACAAGTTTCTGGTAAAATACCCTTCAATAGTGAATCCTAAGGTCTGTTGAATTTGCAAGCTGCTAACAATTACATTTTATATAAACTATATTAAATAAGTAATTCTTTGAAAAGCAAATGCAATACTCTGTCCAGAAATACAGGACGTCGGACGTGCTTTCTTCAAGATAAATACGTTTTCATCCTTTAACTCTGACAAATGAGACTAGCTGTCTCCAAATACATTCTCTTCTGACTGCTAAAATAAGTCTTTAGTAGTATCAGATAATTATGCCTAATTTTCAAATACTCTCTATATAACTACAGAAACCCACATCTAACTATTATTACCTAAGATGGTAGTATGGGTAGAAAGAATGAACATGGCAGGAATCCTGACTCATCTTCTTCTACAGCAAAAGCTTGTACGAACTTCAAAGAAAGCTTTGGTTGAGTGAAAACTTCAGTCTCAGCAATGAGAACTACATCCAAACCATACCTCTCTATGGGATGTTCATAACGGTCCACAACATTTATCCAAAACTGATACTTGTTAATTGTTTCGTGAGAGATAGTGAGTCATTCTTTGTCCTTTGCAAGCAAATTGAGGATTTATAAATGAAGATATAAACCCACAAATACATCATTAGTCCTCAGAGCACTCTGAAATGTCTGGTCTAGATGAAGTGAACATAAATACTCAAAAATGTAGGGGTAAACACTAGATCATAGAGCAATACAGCAGATCACAGCATATTCTATAGTTACTTCATAAATTGTGTAACTAAATTATAACCTGACGCACACAGTTTAAGACCAGGTGCTTTCAGCCAGGTAAAGATGGAATAAGTACATGTAATTATGTCCTAGAGAGCACTAATATTGGTTTGTCTTATCTTTTCCAGCACCTTCTGTATCGAGCAGGAGGAAGAACACTTTCGCTTATTCTGAGGTGACAAAACCCATTCTAAGACCCTTTGGTGGTCACAGATTCTGCAACACACAGAGAATTATTTGCAAAGTAAGGTTTTCAACATGAAAATGGAGAGGTGACCCAACACAAGAAAATTCTTCTTAGCAATGAGTGAGTTTAACTAAATGTACAGTAAATGCTAAAACTGTAGTGAGTTAAGTAAGATTTCAGTAAACTCAAGTGATTCAACTAACAGGAACAACTTGATACATACCAACAGGTATTTTTAAGAAATCACCTATGCTTTTTGTAGAAAAAGCTGTAGCAGTTCAGTAAAACCAAATCTTTAAGCTACCTTTGTCATTTCCTGGGTCTCAAGACACATTTAGTAGAGATGATATTTGGCATTCAAGTTGGACATTTAGTGGTCCTACTTGTCAGACAGGGTAAAAATTAGATTTAACTAAGTGCCTTAGGAGAATCAGTGCATGATTCAACTACAATATATCATCTCAAAATTTAGGGTGAAGCCACAACACTAATTTGCTACAATGTGTTTTTAAGCAGAATAACGGAAAATACATAACATCCTTATAAATATTCAAATGTGCATGCAGTATACTTTCCAATTATACTGCCAGGACATTATAGTAACAAACTGTGTCTTGACATGCTTAAAATGCATTCAAAGTGTCTTCAGGATCAAGGAAGAATGCTTTCCACTAACAACAAAGGACACTTATTCCAGTGTGACAAACCACAACAGTGTAAAAACACAACAGAGATGCAGACGGATTCAGAATTCATCACTGATACAGCGCCTACGCCAATAACTGATGCACTTCCAAGAAACAACCTTATTTTGGCCTTTTTTTTGGTCTTTTTTTTTTTTTCTGATGATGATTGGCTTTTATGATTAGTTAGCTCAACAAAGCAGTCTTCCAAGGACATAAACTTTTGGCATTTCCTGAGATAACCTGAGCAACTGTAGCTCAAAGGAAAAAGGGTTTTAACCTTTTTTTTTTCCCCAGACATTAAATGTATAAACATGGATTTTAAACGCTGTTGCTGTCAAATGAAATTAAATCAATCAAATGGACTGCATTTTACTAACTAGACCAATTGGGTATTTTTCCATTGACAAGGTCAAAAATATATCATTCCCATTTTTGATACTTCAAGATGTATGTGAAGAGTGGGAAAACTTTTACAGAAAAGCATCACACTGAAATTCTTACTCTCAAAGGAGTAACTACTGGCTTCAGAACATCCCTTAGCAAAGGGTGGAGCAAACAGTGGTCTACCCCAGGAACTCTGAAGACCTGGTGGAACTGACCTAGACAGACTACAGCACAGTCCATGCCAGTTCAGCTACAGAAAGTAGACAGGAAAGAAAAAAACAGATGAAAGATTTTTGCTTTCTCTCTTCATTCTTTTGCTGTGTCCTAGGGATGGAAGGGAATAGGCAACTACTTCTCACCAACTCAGTCCTCTCTTGCAGGACCAGGGACGCCCTAAGAACAGTGGCAGATTCCAAGTAAAAAGTATATGACTTCCATATGGTTCCTTCCAGTCTCAAAACTGTAGTATGCAGGAAATTTTATAACCCAGTTTGACTTTTAATTATATACATTCTGTTTCTTTCAGTATTTGTAGGACTGGGCATTAGCTTTGCGTCTGGTGATATAAAATCTATACAGACATTTGAGACAGCTCTACCATATGCTGGGGAACATGCCACATTAGGCTCTATTATGGCACCATATGACAGGAGAGAAGCTGTAGAAGTAAGCAGCATCTAGGATCCTACTTGTTATATGGTTATGTAAAAACACTGCCCTGTGAATACAATAGACAGTCGTGACCGCTTGGGTCAAAAGTAGCTGCCAGCACAGCTCAGAGCAGGCGGGCTAGGTGTATTTGATCTGAAGTACAGCGCAGGACATCCCCTAGTACTACACTGCAAAGGTAGAAACACGGGGTCAACTGCAAGAAGCAGACAGCAGGTATGCGAAACTCAGAGGTATGCCTCACTAAATAGTAGGCTGAAGATGAGTCCCAGTTTTCCTTTCTTTCCTGTTCCATAATTAAGAAAAGACAATGGCTTATTATTGTTACAACTATAGTCATTTGCAGCCTGTAATCTGTGGCTTCAGAGAGCTTAAAAGACAATTAGGTTGCTGTGGTACTCAATATATTCTTTTATTATGAAAAACAATTTATAGAAACACTGACGATGGAGAGGGAATGATGAGACGGCTCCTCTACAAGGATCGTTTTACCAAGACCGATGCTCCCAGCAGAGACCACACAGACACAACTGTGGTTCCACTTTAAGAAGTCACTGCGTGAAAAATGCTACCTTCTTTCTTACAGCTTGGCTCCCCATATATATGGATAGTCTTATCAGCTGCCTTTAAAAACATTTAATTCCCATTTTTAAAATTTATTGTTTATATTACTGTAGTGCCTTGTGCCTTGAAGATTTTACCTCTGGTAATTACTGATTCTGCACGAGAGAGCTGGAATCAATTCTGCTTCACAAGTGAACAATTACATACCAGATGAAGTATTAATATCCAGCCTCATTTACACCTCAGAAATCTCATTTTCTTCACTAGATCTACATGGGTGTAACCGGTTGCAGACTGCAACCTTTTTAAATAAAAATATGATACAGAGACTGCCTATCATGATTTGCATACACATTTTAGACAGAATCTGCAATGCTGGTTGTATGTTACCAACGGCCACCGCAGGCTCTAGTTAGGGAACAGCTCTGCTCCAGGGCAGGTCAGCTCAGCACAGCCGTGTTGGAATTTACAGATGTTTTGCTGAAGAACAATCTGTGCTTACTGGCTAGCATAAACTGTTACAATGCTTTCGAGGATTCAATGTACAGTGAGAGCTAGTACTAACGAACACTGAAATCATGACTGTCAACCCTTTGATCTACTTCAGACTTCCTCACTTGCTGTACGTGTTAGAGCACTAACTGACAAGTTCTTGCTCTCCACTTTGTGCCGATCAACAACAAAAGACAAATGAAGCCAATGTTCGCCCAGAACATGCAAATGCATTAGTGAAAGCCAGGACTCCGCAGCACCCGCCATCCTCTGGTAATGACAAAATCTGTCCTGGGATTTTATTGTTCTTATTTTTGTAGAGATGCACTCTACTCCACAGGTGGGTGAGCTGCTAAGTGCTGTTTCTCAAGAGTTAAAGGCAGGAGACAGGCGCCCACATATAATGATTCTTTTCAAATATATTTCTGATTATCTTCATGAGCTTGTGTTCAGTCCTAACATTACAACAGTATACATCACCAAAGGAGGTTCACTCACCAAAAGCACTTTTTGCATGGCAAAAATAATACTGGTTATCCCATTAGGATTTCCACACATACCCCTAGCTGACCACTTGGAAAGCCTATCTGTTTTTCCACAGGGTCCTCATGTAAGCAAAGCAAAAACCAGTCCTACACTTACAGCTATTCATAGGTAAACAAAACATTTTCCGTTAGTCAAGCACTG